TCCCCAAACCGGCATGTATTGGTAAAGGGAACGAATCTCTGCATTCGCTGCATCTTCCACAACCCTCCTCGAGAGACAAGCTTTCACTGGCATGAGGATCAACCCGGAGACCCTCATGGACGGCCAGGGTTCAGGGTTTAGGGTTTAGGGTTTAGGGTTTAGGCAGCCATGTCGCGAACTTCCCCTGTCTGCAGCTCCTGCATGGACTCGAATCTGAGCTTGCCCACGAATTTTCCGAAGCTTGCCCACAAATTTCATTAAGGTGCGAATTATCATATGATAGAGAGGGTTTAGGGTTTAGGGTTTCAGGGAGGATTGAGGGTTGAGGGTTTGGGGCACCTTGGGCAATCTAGCAATTTCCCCCCAAAGCCAGAAACCCACCTGCACTCAACCCGCAACCCCAACAGCTACACCCCCAAGGCCGTAAACCCCCTCCTGTAAACTGTAAACACCTGCAAGCATAAAAAATCTACACCACTCTGCACCTGATGCACCTGATGCCCTGAACCATAAAAGCCCCAACACTTTTAAATCTATCAGTCCTTCACAACAACCTGGACTTCGGAAAGCTTAATCCCTTTAACCAAAATCCAAACGCCCATAGGAACGTCCGACACCGCAAACCCAACACCCGGAATCCAGAGACCCAAGCACTCCAAGAAGCGCCACCCCAATAAAGCCCTTAAAGCCCTAAGCCCCAAAACCCCAAAGCATGAACCCCAAACACCCAAAACCCCTAAAACCCCAAGCCCCCAACCCCCACCCCCTCCTCAAGAAACCAAAAACTCTGAGCTCCCTAAAACCTAAACCCACAACAACAACAAAAATCTGAGCTCCCTAAACCCTGAACACCAAACCCACAACAACAACAAAAAAAAATGAGCTCCCTAAACCCTAAACCCACAACAACAAAGAAACACTTAGCTCCCCGGCACGGCCGTTCAGGCTGTCAGACTTCAGCCCGTGAAGCTCCTGGCGCGTGGGATTTGTTGGGTTTAGGGCCTGTAGGGTTTACAGGGCTTATAGGGCTTATAGGGTTTACGGGGCTTATAGGACTTGTAGGGCTTATAGGGTTGGGGTGTACAGTGCTTATAGGGTTTTTTGGGTGTTTGAGGCTTTTAGGGCGTCTAGAGCTTGTAGGGTCTAGGGCTTAGAGCTTTTCCGGCCTAGGGCTGAGGAGTTACAGAGTGGAGGATTTGGGGTTCAGGAATTAGTGGTTGTAGGCTTGCGGCTTTAGGGTCTAGGGTTTAGGGTTTAGGGTTTAGGGTCTAGGGTTTAGGGTTTAGGGTTTAGGCTTATTATAGGGTTGACGTGAGGGTTTAGGGTTCATAGGGTTTCGGCGTTGGGGTTTAGGGCTGAGGGCTGGCTCAGCACCTTCAGCTCGTCATGGTTAAAAGCCAGTTGCAAATAACGAAATGCAACGGAACCCCGAAACTTCATAAACATCTGCACACTTGCCGGTTCACGGTCAGTAGTGGTGTTTTCAGACAAACGCAACTCAGATTGTTCCATGACTGATCTGATCTAGTGCAAGTGGGTAGCTCTCTAAATTAGGGTCCTGTTCTTTGGGCCCCCAAGATAGTACGGCACCCTAATACAAAGGACCCTCAAAGCGATCCTAGTTTAGAGAAGTACCCGAGTGCAGCCTCGCTTCTTCGTCTTGAGCTTTCCAGTGCTGCCGACATGTCCAAAGTTTGAGTGCCGCCGAGATTTGATCTGCAAAGAGAGAGCATAGACTAGAGCTGGTGGGGCTGTCAGGTAACATCATATACAATGATACTACAACTTTTACAACTTTATGATATATTATACTCCCAGGGTAACAAGTGTAACACAACATACCACAGTATACTGCTACATACTACAGTTCTGTTATATACGATAATGTAGTATCTTATACTCTAATATACAGTAGAAGCCAGAAAGATGATACATTATTATCCTGGTACCCTCACTAATCATCCTAAATCCCTGTTCCAACTTTCTGGGGTTCGATGTACTTGGAGGTTCAGGGGATTTAATAACTACAGTTATAAGTACCATAAATCGGGTTGTAAGTTTATAGTCAACCTTTTTTTCCCCTAGGACTTTCTCCCATGAACCTGTAAGTAGGGCCTAAACCATAAACCCTAAACCCTAAACCCTAAACCCTTAACCCTTAACCCTTTAAACCCTAAGCCCTAAATCCTAAACCCTAAACCCTAAAACCCTAAACCCTAAACCCTAAATCCTAAACCCTGCATTCTGAATGCTCGGACGTCAGGTCTCGGGCTGCAGGGGTGCAGAGTCTTTGGATTTCGGATCTTCGGGTTGAGGAGCCCGCGCCCTATTTTTAGAGGATATTGCAGTCTATTGTAGTATGTTGTGGTATATGATGGTATATGCGTAATATGCTACAGTATATTCTGGTATTTTGATAATCCCCGAAAGCTCTAGGGTTTAGGGTTTAGGGCTTAGGGTTTGCCCTAAGGACTTGCCAGGGCAGCCACAACATCGTCTACGGCGAGGATGTGCTCTCCATTGGCCTGGCTGGGCTTGCGGGTCATGGGGTTGGCGAGCCGGCACTGGGCTGAGGGTTAGGGGTTTAGGGTTTAGGGGTTTAGGGGTTTAGGGGTTTAGGGGTTTAAGGGTTTAGGGGTTTAAGGGTTTGGGGCTTAGGGTTTAGAGGTTTGGGGTTTTGGGTTTAGAGGTTTGGGGTTTAGGGTTTAGAAGGATTTAGGGGTTTAGGGTTCCAGGGTTGAGGGGTTTAGGGGTTTAGGGGTTTAAGGGTTTGGGGTTTAGGGTTTAGAGGTTTGGGGCTTTGGGTTTAGAGGTTTGGGGTTTAGGGTTTAGAAGGGTTTAGGGGTTTAGGGTTCAAGGGTTGAGGGTTTAGAGGTTTCGGGTTTAGGGGTTTAGGGGTTCAGGGGTTTAGGGGTTTAAGGGTTTGGGGTTTAGGGTTAAGAGGTTTGGGGTTTAGGTTTAAATGTTTGGGGTTTAGGGTTTAGAAGGGTTTAGGGGTTTAGGGTTCAAGGGTCGAGGGAGGGGTTTAGGGTTTAGGGGTTTAGGGTTTAGAGATTTGGGGTTTAGGTTCTAGAGGTTTGGGGTTTAGGGTTTAGAAGGGTTTAGGGGTTTAGGGTTCATTGTTTAGGCTATAGACACATGGGAGGTTTGGGCGCGACAGAGAGGGCTTGAGGATTATTCGCGGATGTTCAAGGTTGAGGGCTTCTGGCGTTAGGGTTCAAGGTGTAAGGCATTCCGCTTTAAGCAAAAGCTCCCAGGTTAGTTTTTACGGTCGGAGCCCTCAAATTAGTCAAATTAAGGTTGAGGCCGGGTTTGTTGAGGAAACTATCGGGCTTTAGGGATGTCCAGATGTTTATTGGGTCTTTAGGGTTCCGAGGTTTTTGGGACAGATCGCACTTAATGCAAAACCTATAGTCTCAGAACCAGCCTCCGGCGAAGCTGGGTTACTTATTGGGTAGCATAGCAGTTATGATACAGAAAACCTGACAACCCCCTCTCGTTCAAAAAACAACAACTGCATTGGACTTGGAGGGTACAGGTATGTTTTCTCGCCTAGACCCTACACCGTAGACGCAGTGGTAAACCGAAAACCCTACTCCCTACATCCATAACCCTAAGCCCCAAATTCAACCCGCAACACCAACCTGGCCGACCCCGTGCATAGCGCTGCCTTGCGTCGTCGAAGGTGTCGATGTCGAACTCTCCTTCCATGGCTCGCGAGCTTTCGTGGGCTTAGCATCCGAGTAACCGCAAGTCCCTCAATGTATATATACATATATATATATATATACAGGTTCCACAGTCAAGGACCTCAACAGGTGCAGTAGGTGGCCTTTGCGGCGCTATTTCCAAGAGCAAGGGAAGTTACAGAAAAGAACTTGGACCTTAAGTAGGATGCTTGCCACAGTGACCTCTGAGACGCAGACTTTTTCCCCCCACCATACATACACCCCTAAAAGGGCGCCAACGAACCACTTACTTACTTCGACAAGACCTGACGACAAAACACGAAGATTTCGGAATCATGCGCACCCTAGGTACCACAACTTTCAAGGCTGAGTGTAGCAAAACAACTTCATAAGAACAGTGTACCCTGAAGACATAGCGTGTTGAGCCACCGTCGTGTAAAGTCCTATGTCTCCTAGACTTTGAAGTAACCCGGGAGAAAAAGTATAGACTTTAAGTTTATAGCGGTTCCTTTACGGAACAGGTCCCGAAAACAAGTATTACAGGTACAGTATGGTACTCCATAGCCCGGTCTCTTGTTAAGAAGGACTACAACCGGCAATACTGACTGGCTCAATCTGCGACCGCTACACCTAAACCCTCAACCCGAAACCCTAAACACTGAACCCTAAACCCTAAAACCCTAAACCCTGAACCTATAAACCCTGAACCCTAAACCCTATAAACCCTCAACCTAAACCCTACGCTTGCACCGATCCTTTCGAGTCGTCATCGGTGTTGACAGAGGCGTTGCTGTTGCGGGGGCTCTGCTCTTCGACCTCGAAGGCTGGAGTTGAGGGTTGTGTAGGGTTTAGCGTTTAGGGTTTAGGGTTTAGGGTTGTGTAGGGTTTAGGGGTTTAGGGGCTTTCGTGTTTGGGGGTTTAGGGGCGTTGGGGTTTGGGGGTTTAGGGGTTATAGGGGTTTAGGGTTTAGGGGTTTCTTTGTCAGTTGTTGTCCCACCGCATGGTTGCTGTTGCTGCTTCCCCATCGACCCCTACCGCTGTTACAACAACTACTGCTCCGGGAGCTCCTCCTACCCCCCTAAACCCTTAAACGCCAAACCTCTAAAACCCTAAATCCCCAAATCCCTAAACCCGGGAACCCAACCCTAAACCCCGGAACCCTGAACCCCTAAACCCTAAACCCCAGAACCCTGAACCCCTAAACCCCTAAACCCTACACCCCTATAGCCGACAAAGAAACCCTAAACCCCAAACCCTAGACCGTAAACCCGGAACCTTAAACCCTAAACCGCCTTCTTTCCAAGATACGGCCTGCCGAGCGTTGCTGGAAGCGGCCTCGTTGCTGTCGGCGGACGCCTCACAAAGCCAAGACCCTCAAAGAAGTACAAACACCAGATCCTGAACCTAATTAAACACTAAATCAGCTAAAACCTAAACTCCTGAACCCCCAAGCCCTAAACCCCTCAACTGCAAACCCTAAATTCCTAAAGCCCTAAACCCTAAACTCCTAAAGCCCTAAACCCCTGAACTGCGGAACCCTGAACCCGTAAACCCCTGAACCCCGAAACCCTAAACCCCCAAACCCCTGAACCCCGAAAACTTAAACCCCCAAACCTCTGAACCCCGAAACCCTAAACCCCCAAACCCCTAATTCGCATCTCACCTTCTCTGCCCACCTCTACGCTCCCCGTTGCGGGACCGAGACACTGCCGCCCGCTGTGGAGGCAGAACCCTCTGAGACCAGCTCTCCGGGTTTAGGGCTTAGAGTTTGTAGTTTAGGGTTTAAGGTTTAGAGTTAGGGTTTAGGGTTTCGAGTTTATAGTTAAGGGTTTAGGGTTTACGGTTTGGGGTTTCGAGTTTATAGTTTAGGGTTTAGGGTTTCAGAGTTTAAGGTTTAGGGTTTGGCATGTGCCTCGGCAGCAGCAGGACCGGAACATAAGACTTTGGGCCTTTTCGGACTTGTGAGGGGGACGGGCTGGACGCGCGCGAGCGGAGGAACCGTCCGAGGCCCAGTCATGGGGTGCATCTTCATGGCTAGTTCTCGAAATGAGGGTCCCTTTTTTAGGTCCCCAACATAGAACGGCACCCTTTATTTAAAAAGGCGGCCCTAAAGGTTCACTAATTTAGAGAACTCCCTTCATGGCGCGGCAGCACAGGCGTCTCAGCCAAGGTTCAAGCTGCCAGTGGTGGCGAATGAAGTACACTTGCAGGCAATGCCCGCGCCGTCGGAAAGTGCAGGACGTGCTCGCTGGCTTTCGCTCTCCAGCTTGTGTCACCACGCAGTGCTGGAGCCAGAATTTGCACAATGCATCCAGTGGTCGATGCAAACTTTCTTGCTGTCCTGGGCTTTCACGACGCCGCCGTGCTGGCATAGCATCTCTACTGTGGTCAAATCTTCGGTCTGCTATATGGCCACAAAGAAAACGGCTACAGACCCTGATAAAAGAAACACACATCCTATAAGGACTCTAAACTCTAAGCCGTAACCAGAAATCCTATAAGGACTCTAATCTCTAAGCCCTAACCAGAAATCCTGTAAACTCTAAACCCTAACCAGAAATCCAATAAAGACTCTATAAACTCTAAGCCCAAACCAGAAATCCTATAAAGACTCTATAAACTCTAAGCCCTAACCAGAAATCCTATAAAGACTCTATAAACTCTAAACCCTAACCGCAACCGTCGTCCTCAACAAAAAACCAGGAAAGGCCTCGGTAGAAGGAGCTCGGGAGGTTACGCGCGAAGCCGACCTGGCTAGGCAGTTATATACAGATTAGGGTTTAGGGTTTAGGGTTTAGGGCTTTAGGGTTTAGGGTTACCAATACCCTTGCTACTTTGGGGGTCCCTTATGGGTTTAGGGTTTGGGGTTTAGGGATTTTTATAATCACAGTATAACCTACTCCAGAACCCTATTCTAATTATTAACGCCCCTACATATTAAGAACCGCAGAGAGGCCACCAACCACGTTTCTCGTGGACTCTAACAGCCGGTACAAATCACAATAGCACACTAGTACAAACTGATAACCATGATACTACCAACAACGATGGACAAATGTTTGCAATTACCGTAATAATGGAAATAATAACGACAAGAATGCTGCAGCTGGAGCCTTTTCAGTCGGATACCGGTTCCGAAGAAAGCCCCAATCTCAGGCATTCGAGCCACTGGAAAAGCGTACCCGGTTTGGGGGCTTAGGGTTTAGGGTGCACCCACGAATCTCGACTTAAACGAGAAACCCCGAAACACAAGCCTCCAAAATTTTCAAAAGCTTTTCAATCAAACCTAAACCCCCCTACAAAATTCATGTCAGCAAGTTCCTGGATCCTAAACACCCACCCCAATGCAATATTACTCAAAGCCTGAAGCCCCCGACCCCGAAAGTCCCAAAGGAAACGCCCCAAAACAAAAGGGCCCGAAGCACCTCTCTTAGTAGAATGTAGGTTTTCTATCTTAGGAATGACACTTATGATTTGGGGGAGTATCCCTCATAACAGTACCCTAAACCCTAAACCCTACACCCTAAATCCCTAAACCCGAAACCCTAAATCCCTAAACCCGAAACCCTAAATCCCTAAATCCTAAATCCCTACATAACCTAGGATAAGAGGAAACAGCCGAAACATCTACCAGGACCCCCGGCCGCGAGGGCTGAGACGTTCGGGAGGAGCGCCTCGAGGCACTTCGAGAAAGGCGCCTCGGCTTTTCTGTTTCGTTTCCTTAAAGGGTTTAGGGTTTAGGGCTTATAGGGTTTATAGGGTTTAGGGTTTAGGGTTTATAGGGTTTAGGGTTTAGGGCTTATAGGGTTTGGGGTTTAGGGTTTCGTAGGGTTTATAGGGTTTAGGGTTCAGGGCTTAGGGCTTATAGGGTTTAGGGTTTAGGGTGTGTGTATATATATATATAGATAGATAGATTTGGGCCCCCAAGGTATACACTAGACTATTACTTGGACTCTTTGGGTTTTATATACAGAGTTTAGGGTTTAGGAAGGGTTTGTTCAAAGGGTCTACTTTGAGGCCAAAGTATACATGCATGTGTGTATATAAATAAACAAATAAACAAATACATATATATATATATACATATATACATATATATATATATATATGTACCTGCATAGAGACAGAATGGTGCATATATATATATATACATACATACAGATGTACATATACTTTGGCGTTGAAGTGTCGAAGTGTTGGGGCACATGGACCCTGAGGGTTTCGTGTATAACGTTTCGGGCTTAGGAATATCGTCAAGATTTGGGGTTCAGCGTCAGTGTTTCAGGTTTAGCGCTTTTGCTGGTTTAAGCTGTATAGCGTGATGTCTCAGGTGTGGTTTTTGAGTTTTCAAGCAGCTTAGGGTTCAAGCGGGCTGTTAGTTTTGAGGCAGTTTACGGTTTCAGGGCTTATAGGGTTTAGGGCTTAGGGTTTAGGAGTTTAGGGTTTAGGGCCAAGGTTGTTTTGTTTTTTTGTTGAGCTCCTTTTTCCGGCTGCATGATCCATCCGAAAGGCCTAATAAGGCCAGGAGATCGGGCATCGGCACGACACCCTGCGACCACATGCCCTTACCAGCACATGGCAACCCCAAAAAACCCTCGGGTCCCTCAGGACGTTCACGGCGATCCCTCATCCTTCATCACCCCATTCTCCGAGGTTTAGGGTTTAGGGTTTAGGGTTTAGGGTTTAGGGGTGTGGGGTTTAGGGTTTAGGGTTCAGGGTTCGGGGATCTGATAGCGCGAGGGCTTAACTTCAGCTTCATTTTGGGATGTCGCAGAGCTACACCCTCTGAGCGAACTTTAAATGTAGGGTCTAGAAGTCTACCGGGTCCATAAACTTTAAAGCCTCAAACCTTAGAATCCTTGAGACCAAATCTCGGAGGTCCAAAAAAACGCCATGAGGCCTGAACCCCTGAACCCCCAAACCTTAAAAGAAGGGTCGATCTCAAGCCTAAATCCTATACACCCTATAATGTAGGGGCCCGAACAGTTAGAATAGGGTTTGGGGTTCCCTTCTAGTATATTTACAATCAGGAACCCTGGGGAATGATATTGGTAATTATTGAAGCTACTACAGTAAACCTCCCAAAGGGTCCAAGTATCAATCTACTAGCTACAAAGAAGAAAAATGGGCCCCCAAAGTATATACTATACTTGGACCCTTTGGGCCTCTAGACACTTCGATATCCCCAACCCTAAACCTAAAACCCAAAACCCAAAGCCCTAAACCCAAAACCGCAAACCCCTAGACACTCCGATAAGCCACGGGGATGCGCCGCCAACGCCCATGGTCAGCTGTCGGCGGATGGAGATGCGTCCTCGGATCTCGTCGTTGAGAAGAGAGGGTTTAGGGTTTAGGGTTTAGGGTTTTACAAGCAATGCTTAGAGTTTAGGGGTTTAGGGTGGGGTTAAGTTTAGGGGTTGAGGGTTTGGGGTTTAGGATCATGGAGTTTCGGGTTTGAGGGTATAGGGTGGAGGGGTTTGTTCCTTTAAAGGGTTCTATTAAACTGGCCCACCAATCGGATAACCATTCCCACCCTCTCCCATATTAGGGTTCCAAGTTTAGGCTTTTGGGTTCTCCTCGGGTGTACCTCGACCCGTGGATTGCGGTACGTCTTTGGGGTCAAGCTCCTGTAAGAAGGCATCGCAAGCATAAACACAAGAACCTCATGTGAGGGTATAAGTAGTAGAGTTTAACTATGGGTCAAGGCTAGCTGCTTTGTCTGTCGGGTGGTTCATTCGGCCTGAATCGGCACTGCAGCCTTTGCTTAGCTGAGGGACCTAGCTCTCTAAACCCGACGTCTCTTCGCCATGGTGCTGGCGAGCCTTGTATGAAGTGGGAAGGTGCGAGGACTTGCTGGTTGAGCTTTATCCGGGTCTGTACACCGATATCGAAGGCGAACTGACCCTCAAATCGAAACAGAGACTATGGTAAACTTAAAGCTGAACTGCGGGCTCCGGCCATGGATTCCGTTTGCTAGGCCTCAACAGAAACATAAACTCTAAACCATAAACACGAAATCTCGAGCCTTTTCGCCCCAAACTTCCAAAAAAACTAAACCCTAAACCTTCTTGCCCCAGACCCTTTATACTCCTGACCTCCAACCCTAAAGCCCTAGGACCCGCCACACCCCGAAGTTTTTTAAGCAAGGTGGCGTATTTGCGCTTGCTTTTCGTTGGCCTTGCGCTGCAAAGCAAGATCCAACCTCCTGGCCCGGGCACTCAGATTAGTAGAGAATGTCGGAGCCCAAATAGACGTTCTTCAGGGATCATTGGGTCTCCCGTACCACAAAAATCAAACCAGGATCAAGGAGAGCTGTAATCTTATGCACCCAGCCCGAACCCAATGTCAAACCTATGCCCGACAACGGCCCCACATCCCAAACCCTAAACACCACAAAAATCCCGAACAAGTAGTGCCAATATCCCATTATAGACCCGATATAGTTATCGCATGGCTTTAGCACAAACCCCTTTTCTAAGTTTTGAAAAGCCCCTATAGCAAGGCTGCTCGCTGCAGAGCTATCCATGGACCTTCGGAGGTTTAGGCCTTGGGGAGGGCGGGGCCAAGAAAACTGATTGAGGGAACTACATTTACGGATTTATGTAGCCTGAAACGCTGAGATCTGATCCTACAGCCAAATTCCAGCTAAACCCTGAAACCCGACACCCTCCTTATTTAGGGTGTATAAGGTTTCAGGTGTGCATACAGTTTGCGCGCGGTTGGTGCGACTTTTACTTTGGGAACAGGGGCGCACCCACTTATCGCGCACTTGCGTAAACATGTAGTCCCGCCCCAAACACCCAGCTATTCTCAATGAGGGTTTAGGCTCTCTGCTTCCCATCGCAGTTCGGCACATAAGCCACCACATTTCCCAGGAAACTAAAGCTGAGATAGATTGGTCTCGGGTTGTGGGTCCTGGCGGCCTGTGCCGGCCGCTCGACGAGAAGCAAGGGGTTTCCAACAAACAACCCGCTCTTCGCGGCTGTAAGGGTCACCCGACGTGCAATCACCTATCGTGGCAATGAAAATTGCCCCGGCCGGCGGAGTCTTGCCAGCCTTCCGCAAATTCGGCAGTCGCCCTCAGGAATCGGTTTGATTGGGCCCAGCAACCCTGCCAGGTCGTCTTAGAAGCACCGGAAGCCCTTAATGTCATGAATCTGGTCCCAGAGCTGCTCTAAGAAGGGCAGCCAATTTTGCAGTTTTGCCCGACATCCGCCGGGCTGGGGCCACCCCAGACCCCCCCTTGCAAATGTAGTGGGGCGCGGGAGGCTTTTGCCACCTTGTCCATGGGCCGGCTCAAGCGGCCAGGGAATCAATGGTGGGAATTTTGGGTTTCAGATCATTTTTTTCGGGGCGTAGCCAAGTCATTTCCATCCCGTATGCCGGGAGCCTGTACCCTCCCTCCCCGTCCTGTCGAGACGCTCGGCCGGGGGCCTGGTCGGAGCCTCGAGCGCCCATGCGAATGGTCAGCGGCTCTCTCGGCAGTTTAGGGTTTAGGTGCTTTAGGGTGTAGGTTTTAAGGTTTAGAGATAAGCGAAGAGCCTTTAAACATCTTTAAACCCTCACCTCCACAGGCCCGAACCCCGGTTCTGGGACATCTGAAGCGCCGAAGCCCGGTTGCGGATCCCGATTCCACAGCTCAGGATTCAGGTCTTAAGGTGTATAGGTTTTAGGGACATAGGGCATAGAGTTCAGGGTTAGGGCTGAGGGCATAGGGTATAGGGTTGATGGTTTAGGGGCTTAGGTTTTTCATGATACTGTCGGAGTCTGAACTCCTGAAAGGAACAGGAAAAGGGCCTGTTCGTCTTGTTCATGGACTCGCTGGTTGCGAGTGTGGAAAACTCCTCTGCGGCAAACAGGGTCATTTCTAAACCAAAGAGGACGCAGGGTCTAGGGTGATTCGACATCACAGTCTTCGTTTATAATCAAAACTCATAACTCTGGAATCCAAAACGTAGAAGCGGTGCTACCTGTCGGAGCGCGAATCTCTCCGAAACCCTGATTGTTGGTACTGTCAGGTATTCGTAAGCTTACACATAAGTGTGGCAATTTTGCTAGATGCTGGTCCCAATGGGTATTCTTCTGCTTGAGACAGTCGTGGGAGTCATTACTATATTACATACTCAAACTTGCATCACTGCTGGGTTGTGTGAACCGCGATGAGGATGATCCAGTTCTTTAGTTGCGTAAAAGGGTATCCGGCTTGCAGACTCCTGCTTTTTAAATTTAGGTTACCCAAGCTCGGACTGTGATCTCTCCACGGGCACCCTGCCGTAAGTCCAGAGAGATACAGTAGGGACTCCAAATTTGAGGGTGTGTGGTTCCTTAGGGCTGTGGAAAAGCCCAAACCCTAACACCACAAAATTCAGCCCGACCCGTGCCATGAATTCATCCCTAATCCTAGCACTTAGTCCGAGATCCTGAAAGATTGGCCGACCACCGACTGCCCGGCTCATTCTTGAATACGCAGAACCCTTACTATACTTGGAACCGCCCCTTCGGCCTCCGAGATTGGCAGTGGATGTCATAGTCAGACAGTTTGAAACAGTTCACTTCTTCAAGGGTTACCTTACAAGCACCAAGTAAACCCTGAGAGCCCATCGGCAAACCCTGGAAAACACGCTTTCTGAGGTTCATTTGGTCCGTACCCATACCTTCCAAGAGAGTTGGGCCCAAAGATCTACTACTAAGTAGCGACTATAGCGGTACTTGCACCCTTTGGGGTACCGCAGCCGCAAGGCTGTAATGACCCTAAACCCATAAACCCTGAACCCCTAAACCCCTAAACCCCTAAACCCCTAAACCCTAAACCCTAAACCCCTAAAGCCCTAAACCCTAAGCCCCAAGAAGGGCCCGACCTCCAGCGTCGATCGCATCTGCGCCTGGTAATTCCTCAGGCCCTCTGTGAGCCTGACGAGGCCCAGGGGTCTGAGGAATCAGGGTTTAAGGGCTTAGGGTTTACAGGGTTTATAGGGTTTAGGGTTTAGGGTTTAAGGTTTAGGGTTTAGGGTTTAGGGTTTAGGCTTTAGGGGTTAAGGTTTAAGGTTTAAGGTTTAGGGTTTATAGGGTTTAGGTTTTAAGGCGTAGGGTTTAGGGTTTAGGTTTAGGGTTTAGGCGTGTAAAGAACAGTCTTTAGTTTTTGGGGTTTTGGGGTGTGTAGTATATACATATGTATATATGTATATATATATATATATACACCCCAAAATCTCAAAACCTAAACCCTATGAACCCAGTATGAGCCCCTAACTCAAAGGGTCCAACTACCAATATAGCAGCCACTGTAGTCGGAGATTTTAGGCTCCCAAAATATATACTATTATACTACTACTTGGACTCCTAAAGCCCTAAACCAGACCATTACTTGGACCGTTTAAGGGCCAGGCTTACGGACTTTCGCGTTGTTTCGCGGCCTCAAGGGCCTCTTTAAAGGTTTCTCTAAGGGTTTATAGAGTTTAGGGTTTAGGGCTTCGGGCTCAGAGGGTTTAGGATTCATTTGAAGGCTCCTTGCGTACAGAGGTTCCTTGAAGGAATCTAATAGAGGCTCTCTGGTTTCAGGGCTTAGGGATACTGTTGGGGTGACTACTTGGCTTCTGCAAGGGATATCTGAAACGGTTAAGGGCTTTGGGTTAAGGGTTTAGGCTTCTTGTGTTTTGGAGCTCTCTGGTTCTCGGCTTAGAGGCTGTGAAACTTCTTCCGGAGACCTGCCGCATACTACATCGATACTGGAAAGCACGACTCCCAGAGGCTCCACGTATCAATATAGTAGTTACTAGCTACTTAGTATATATGTGGGCCCCCAAAGTATAGGACATTTTCAGTTGGGTAGTTACCGTTGTAGGAGTCATATAAGCCTTATAGAAGGTCTATATAATATACCTTATAGAAGCCTTATAGAAGCCCTATATACTAACCTCCCCACCTGTAGTTGCCTTAGTTGCCTTTAACAAGTTTTTACTATAGAATCCTAAACTCTAAACCCTAAACCCTTTAAAGCTTGGGAAAACCTGGCCCTTGCACCGTGCTTTTCCTCAAGCACCCACGGATGCACATGCGCATCCGAGACGCTTTCCCCCAAGTACCGGCGGATTCCTAAACCCTAAACCCTAAACCCAAAGCCCTAAACCCTAGACCCTAAACCCTAAACCCTTCCAGGAAAAGAGGTGTAGCGCCTCAGTGGAACC